ATTCTTCCCCACTTCCTGTTAGCAATTTGCAAAAATCAATGTAGTTTACAAATTCAAGTGCATTTTGGGAGATTGTATCTCCAATGGATTAAATAATATTTATGTTGGTCACTCCACAAAGTCGCTTTCACGATGCTTGACTCTACATTTGAATGATAACTCTAACATTTTTAGGCATTTAAAACAACATGCCTGGTAAGCGTACACAATTCTGGAAAATCCTCATTGAAAACACAACTATACTTAAACATGAAAACAATAAACAAAAACTAAACATTCTTGAAGCTATATGCATAAAACAGTTGAAACCTAACCTGAACAAAATAAACTATGAAATCTCCACAAGTATTCTTAAATGCTTATAATTGATAACAGAAGACATTGGTTTATACCAGCGGATTCCCATACTTAATACTTATTGTTTTTACTCTCGTGTGGTCATGTGTGACGTCACAAGCTGCGACATGATTTTCGCTTCCGCTTCTCGTATACATGAGTTTGTTGTTGCTTTGAAATTTTTCATGCAACAAAAACAGACTATCATTATTGTTTCATCTGTGTATTGGTTGATATATTGAAATATAATTGTCATCTTTGATAATGGCTTACGTAACCCAAAAGCTTTGATTGGATTTAAACATTTCTCAATATTGTAATTTCCTTTCATCTTTTAATGATAATGCTTTTAAGCTTATCATATATATATATATATATATATATATGGGAACAGATGATGATTGTGTTTAGCATGAAACAGTCTGTTGCCTCTGAGAAACTACCCAAAATATACACACATTCGTGGGTGTATATTTTGTGTAGCTTCTCTTACTACATGATCACCCTGTCAGCTGGGACTGTAGAATATGCCAACTGCACCTCTGCAGAGAGGTAAGAACCCAAAGGGCATCCTGGGTAAGACAATAAACTGCATCCGCGTCCTAGGTAAGATGATAACATCTGACAGCAAGACCTTTATCAGAAAGTTTTGAGGAGCATGGAACCACCTCTTAATTTCTGCTGTTCCCAGGTCCACCTTTACCTGGGGTGGTAGTATCTGTCAGGGTCCCAGCTATGGGCAAATAGTTAATTCCCTTCAAAAGGGATAAAAACACTATGAAAGTATAAAGATAGGTTTTAATACCAGCAATACATTTTTGAAAAAAAGAAAATATTACCAGTAATAAATTTGGGAAAAAATATTACCAGTAATACATTTTGGAAAAAATAAGGGCACTCTTACTTTATTAATAGAGAACCATCTAAGTGTTCAGCATTTACCAAAATGGAGACACTTTGATGCCATCATCCCTACTACTGTGAATGTTATAAATGCTGTTTTCATCTATTTATTTTTCATTCAGCAATTGCTTCTTGTCTGCAGAATTTCAATATTGGGCAGGTAGGGAAAAAAAAATTCTGCTTACTTCCGAATAGACCATTTGAAAGAAAACTATCAGACTGGAATGAGAGTTTATTGTATTTTTCAAGCAGTAGCAGTCAAATATATGAGTTTGTTAAACCTATGACTGAAATTTATATAATATGTACATATTCTGAAAGATGACATTTGAACACAATATATGATTCAATGCATTGATAACACAGTTTATATTGAATACATATATGATTCAATTCATATTGAATGCATATATGATTCTAGTCCTGGGTATGATGATTAACTACATCTGGCAGCAAAGCCTCTGATGTTGAAATTTGGAGGTTTTGTAGTCCATGGAACTACTTCTTAATTGCTGTTGTTCCCAATTCTACCTTGACCTGTGGTGGTAGCACCTGCTAGAGTCCCAGTGATGGGAAAATAGCGAACCCCCACACAAAAATCAACAGTACATTTTTATGATAAAATGACCAACAATGTTTTTTATAGCAAAATGACAAGCAACACTAAAAAATATAAAAATACATTTTTGTTGTAAAATTACCAGCAATATATTTTATGATCTACAAACTATATAAAAATATACCATTACTCTGAAAGTATAAAATTACGTACAAAGCTACAAGAAATTAAATGAAGTTTTTCAGCGTTTGAGACCTTTAACATTTTTTTTCATTTAAGCGTCAAAATATCTGAAGGTGTTGTTTTATGAAAAAATGTTCTGTTTCAAATATTGTATATACTCATGTATAAGCTGATTTCATTTATAGTTCAACCTCTGAAAGTTTTTGCATGAATTTTAACACCTGGCAGAAAAAAAAATTTACCTGCAACCAGTCATGATGTATGGTTTTAAATCTCTTTAAAAAATTTACCTGTGTATGTATAGTGTGACCCCCTATTATTCGAGTCAAAAAAAAAATGATCACAAAAACTCTCACTTTATACAGTATTCAGCAGAACAAAACTGAAGACTTTTTCAAAATTTATGGATTAAAATTTTCAATGTTTTTAGGATTAGTGTAAAGGGGGATGTGTGGGTGGTTCAATTTCTGGTCAAGACTGTTTTGTTCATTTTGTACTACTGCCTTCCATTCTCTTCTTTATCTATAATCGGACAACCAGTCTAAGAGAAAGAAATCTTTGAAATCAGAACTGTAGAGAAGTCAATGGAAAACCACTCTACTACTTTTCAGAAAAATAGTCCTAAAGATTTCACAATTTGCAGATATTGAAGTAAAGGAAGTTGTGGAGGTCCAGGATTGCCTACTATCTTTAAAAAAAATAAATAAATAAAATTGAGAGGCTGAATTAACTTCAGTATGTTTTTTTTACAAAAAAGAAAAAGAAGAAAAAGAAATAAATTTCTTCTACATAGGCTCTTCAAAAAAAAAAAAAAAAAAAAAATGGAAAAATTACTTTCAAGAATGGCATTTGAAATATTTGGGTCATTTTCAGCCGGAAATATAAAAAAGATACCAAACACTCAAAATTAGATTCAGAGTCTTATTGAAAATCTATAATCTGGGAAAATTTCATGTGGTAAAATATGGAGGAAGATATTTAGCAAAGAAGGGGAGCCTCTTCCCCACTTTGGGATGCTGTAGTAATGCTAATATTAGTTGTTTTTACATATGCAAATTTTTCATTTTTTTTTTTTTTTTTTTTAAATATTCATATATGCAAATGTTTTTTTCAAATATTCACTGATGTAAATGTTTTTTGCAGTGCACATGAAAGTTCTGGAAGATACCAGATTTTATAGTTCAGGAATGCACAATAACTTCTTATTTTTTTTATTTTTTTTTTAACACTTTAAAGGGGTGTAAGACAAGGATGCATTTTCACCAGATTTATTCAATCTATACAGCAAGGCAATTCTGAGAAAACCAGAAATCCTACTAGTATTCATGATAGGCTGACACAATCTTGACAACATAAAATATGAAGATGACACAGTGTTGATAGCAGATATGGAAACAAAAATACAAAAGCTCCTACAGAAGGTAGAAAAAGAAAGCAAGAAGAAAGGACTACATATAAACTACCAGAAGACAGAATGGATGTTTATCAGCAAAAGGATGAGCTCAAAATGCAAATTAGAAATTGGGGATACTAAAATCAAACAAGTACAAAAATTTAAACATTTTTGAACTGTTCTAAAAGAGGACGGAAAGCGCAATACTGAGATCTGAAGACACATTGGGATAGCCAAAAATGCATTCCAAAAGCTAAGCAGAGTATTAAGAAAAAGGATTAACAGAAAAGCTTTGTTAGAAAGAAAGAAAAGCGTACTGAACTGTTACGTGATATCTGTCTTCTGAGACAATCTCCTCAAAGATGAAGAAGAGGGTGGAAACAACTGAAATAGGGTTCTACAGAAAGATGCTGAGGACACCATGGACCAGTCATATGAGCAATGACAAGAAGATGGAAACAAAAAAAAAAAAACTTAACATCAAGAAGAAGCAGTTGAAATTTCTACAGATATTCTGTTCATGTCTAGTAATATCTTGTCTAGTTTGTTTTTAGTACTGACCAGATATTACTCTTCCAATGTAGCTAAATCTATACTACCTGATCCAGACAAATACTCATACTCAGTGGAAATAGTACTAGCAATAACTGAATGATAACCAAGGAATAGCAGAATGAAAACATTCTACTCTATAAATTGAATAAAGGTTTAATTTCAAAATTCCCTTTTAGTTAACCAAATCATCAGATTTATAACTTGATAAGTCTATAATTTTGTATGTCAAAGGTAATCATTTTTCTTTTATGGATATTATTACTCCATATATTCCAATAAGGTTATAGTGAAGAAAACGGTGACTTACTTCGTCAAACCAAGCGACAGCATGTCGCGTGTGTTCTATGATGGAAAATGTGGCGAAAAAGAAAATTACTTACCAAACAAAAGGGGAAATATTCCACATGACATGCTGAAGATGGAATATTTGAATTAAAAAAAACAAGTCCGTCGCAGGAGTCACTATAAAAATATTTTGATATGCAAAATACCGAACATCCTCTCCCTGTCGACGAATGGAAAAAATGCTTGGCCAATAAAAGCAGTTGGTGTTCTTGAATCAGGAAGCAAAATTTGGGTATTTTGGAGAATGTGTTATTTTTCTGACTGGTTGTGTGCATTGTGATTTTTGAAATAGTACTTGCGAATCGAGTTTTCGGCATTTTCTTTCTGTCCCCGATGTTCGAGTCTGAACTTAGTGATTTATTCTGTGATGTGGAAATAATCTGCGACAAACATTTCCTTTGTAATCCCAGATCGCTTACAAAGGTCTATAATTTTGGATGTAACAGTTAATATTTTCTGAATTTTACTACTATTTCATGAGATCATTTTAAGGTTTATAATTTTTCATATCTAGGCCATAATCTTTGATTTTGGAGGTACTATTGCCTCATTATATAGTATGGTCTATAATATTAGTATTTTATAGATATTATTACTTTATTATATTGCGAGAGGGTCTATAATTTTGTAAGAGGACCAAATAAAAGAAAACAAAGTTGCTATCATTTTGGCTGTTCAGATAACAATGTATTTGATGCATAAATCTTTTACTCTGTTTTCTTTCAGGGGTGAATTTGATGCATGAAAGCTCTCTACAGGATCTTCCTAATGGAGTCATTTCCTTTTATATGGACACACATGAACCACGAACACCAGGTAAGTCTTATGACTATCACTTCACGCTTAATTGGATAGCACGAGCTGGGCATGTCAATAAACTACACCTGGCAGCAAGGCCTCTCATTGCGAGATTGGAGATTTGAGAAGCATTGAACCATCTCTTAATTGCTGCTGTTCCCAGGTCTATCCTGACCCAGGTGGTAGCACCTGTTAGGGCCACAGCCTTGGGCAAACAGTGAACTTGAAACAGAAATCAAAACACTAGGAAAGTATAAAAAATACCAGCAATACATTTTTATAGTAAAATGACCAGCAGTATATTTTAAAGCAAAGCAACTATTAATACATTTTATAATAGAATTACCAATAGCACATTTAAAAATAAAAGGACCAACAATTTTTACAGCAAATTGACAATACATTTTCTTGTAAAATTGAAAACAATGTCAAAAAAGTTTAAAAAAGAAAAATTAAAAAAAAAACGAAAAATAAATTTGCTATAATTAATCTCGTTTTTTGTAAAAAAGGAGAAACAAGTTTTACAGCAAATTGACAATAAATACATTTTCTTGTAAAATTGAAAACAATGTCAAAAAAGTTAAAAAAAAAAAAAATATTTGCTATGATTTAATCTCGTTTTTTGTAAAAAAGGAGAAACAAGTTTTCACTTCTCATTTAATTTTATAAGATTATTTGGTAAAAAAAAATCCAGCTAAGTAATTAAAATTTAATTATGAAATGTCATTCTCTTGAATTAATTATAAAGTTTGAATTTTCATATTTAGATTTCAGCATAAAATAACCCATAGAGGTGTTGATATGCCACAAAACAAAAATGACCAACACCTTGTGAATGGACCAAAAATATATAAGTAAACATACACAAATCGCACTTAGATAAGAGAAATTGATACATAAAGTGGCCCATTTTATCCTGTAGGACTTTATCAGACTAAAGTGATGTTTATGTTGATGTAACTACTACTTCTGAGATATCATGTTACACCATACTGGCAGTGATCTAAAACCGAGTGTTCATCACAAATCAACTAATAAAAGTGACCTCTTAAATTTCTATTCTCATCAGAACAACAAAATAAAATCTGGAATATTTATCGGATTCTATTTAAGAGCACTCAGAATTTGTAGCCATTATTGTTTACATGAAGAAGAGAAATACATTGAAAATACTTTTAAGCTCCTACAATAACCTAATTCTTTCATATTCAATGTGAAACAAAAGGTTTGTAAAATATTTCAAAATAGAAGAGCAGACCATTCTGACAAAGCCAGTGTATTCTACTTACCAACTGTATCACAACTGCAATTGAAAAGAACTTTTCTAAGCTCAGCATAAAGTATGTTACAAAAATAATAAAAGACTTAATTATTACAGAATAAAATTATGATGAGCTAAAACATAATGGAGAAATTGACCTGTAGTAATTGCCACTAGGAATTTAAATAAAAGATCATATGAACACAAAAGGAATCTTTTACAAAACAACATGCTCAATGCATTAGTTGCTCACTATGAGTCTAGCCATGATTTCAATTTAGAAAATGCTACTTTAGTTAAAGGCAAAAGCAGTTTACTGAGGCAAAAGTGTATTAAATGCTTTTAAGCACAATAAATTTACGTCCTGTTTCTTACAAATTTTTTACCTTTCTTGACAAATCTTCTATTATAACAATGTGTGATTGTTAATAACAACAGTGATACAGACATAAGCAAAAAAGAAAAAGAAACCAAATGAAATTTGCTAGGCTTTATACACAAATGCATAAAAAAGGTTTAAATTAAAAAGTTTAAAATTTCAGCATCCCCCCTCTTCGTCGTACATATGTGTAATGACATCAATGTAAACTTCACTTTAGTCTGATGATCTCCCAAAGTGATAACTTATTGTTTATACTGCAGCTCTACTGTATAGTTTCATCACAGTATCTGGGATATAACCTATAATAGCTAATCCATTTTGTAGAGTTTCCTGGGTATGATGATAAACTACATCTGACAGCAAGGCCTCTGATCAGGAAGTTTTAGGAGTGTGGAACAGCCTCTAAATTGCTGGTGTTCCATGGTCCACCCTGACCCAGGGTGGTAGCACCTGTTAGGGTCCCAGCTATGGGCAAATAGTTAACCCCCAAACTGGGGTCAAAACATGTCAAAATAGATTTTTAATATGAGCAATACAGTTTTCTAAAAAAATATTACCAACAATAAAAAATTTGTCAGCATTAAATACCCATTGATGTTGATATGCCGTAAAACAAACCAAACCAAACCCTTGTGAGTGAAATTGTGTAGACAAAACTGTTTGGAAGCTGTTGATGGCTGTGCTAGCACAAAGTCATAAGTCATCGTGACCAAGCATTTGAGCATACAGAATTTTATTAAATTACTACATGTGCCAGATTATGGGTTCTCTCCAGAGTTGAAGAAACACAAATGTGCCTGTGTAGGATTCTTCAACAGGGATTATCTAATGTATGGCTTCTCTTCTAGAAACTGTGATAAAACTCTATTCTGCATAGTTGCAGTATAAACCACAGGTTATCTCTTTGGGAGTTGAAGAAACAAATATTCTTAGGCAGGATTCTGCAAAAGGGTTTGGCTTCCATCTTTGCATTTCTTGGGGAAGAATAGGCCATTGCCTACCACGTAGTCCCAATGCACATTGGTAGGAGCTTACAGCAGTGGTCACCCATCTACCAATTGACCAGTTGCATAACTTTTGTGATCAGGTGAGAATCAGTGCTTCCTTGTGATAAAGCTGTAAGTAGAAGCACAAAATAGTTACGACTAAATGAGAAAAATTAACTAGAGACAACAAGATATTTTAACAGAAAACATGGAGGATTGACTTTTCCTTTTAAATTATGATGGAAAGATCTGGGAAAAGCCCAAGTTCAACAAAGGTCTTCACAGGCTGATAAAGATTTTGTTTCTGTAGTCAATTTAGAAGAAAAAAACAAAACTAATGTTTCCATTAAATCAAAGAAAGTGAAGACTAATAATATTATTACTTAACTAACTGGGAAATGTTTTAACAAATGACTGAAAATGTGATATAGAAAGCTGTTATATTCCGTGCTAAGGGAATAAACACATAATACCAAGTGGATACTAGAAGAAAGGTTTATTGTACACAAGTACAATATGAAATACGGTACAGTTATACACACAGGTCAATCTAGTAGTGAGTGCCACTAATTGGAAGGTCGGACGTGCTTGCGTCGTCTCACTCTCACCTCCTCTCCAAGTCTCTCGTAGACAGTAGACTTTATAGGTACTAACTACCTATAGTGTAATCATTCATGGGGGTGACTGGTTATTCCATTACATCAAAAGCCAAAGGTGCATTGGAAGAGTGAAAAATGCCTTACAAAAGCTAAACAAAGTATTGAGAAACAGGAAGATTTTATTAGAAAGGAAGGAAAGAGTGCTGGACTGCTATGTAATATCGATCCACCTACATGGCAGCGAATGCTTAGATAATTTCCACACAGATGACAAGGAGACTTGGGTTAACAGAAATGTGGTTCTACACAAGAATGGCATGAAGGAATGAAACAAAGAAAGCATTTGAAAAAATTGTGCACTTAAATTGCCTCTCCATTCAGTTAGACAATCACACCATTTACTGTGTTTCTTTGTTGTTGTTTTTTTTTTAAGTAAAATAGATTTTTTTTTTAAATAGTGGTTATTTTTATTGCGTGTTCTGGCAAGTTCATATTGAAGGTTTATCTATTTTGTGTTAGGGTTTTTTTTATAACAACATCTAGCCAGTAATCATTGTCTGAATTGCTTATTCCATTTATTTAATGTTTTCCTTCCTAAATTCTTTACAGCCATTGCTGTGTGTTCTGGCCCTTTTATTTATGTGTACAAGAATCTGCGACCTTATTACAAGTTTTCAATGCCAACCCTAGAGATCAATGTAACTGAACAGGAGTTGTGGGCACAGGTGAAAGATGTAAGTGAGTTGGCCTCTTTTATCTCTCTTTCTTTTGTCATTTACTTTATCCTGTGGATACGCAGGTGGTGTAGTGGTTAGTTGTTTTTTAAGCATTTCACCCCAAGCAAGGCAGGGGTGCCACTAGCACACAAAGGGTTACAGAGAGTGAGAGCAAGAGTAATGAGGCGTGATAGAGGAATAGATGAAGGGAAGGATGGGGGAATAGATCAAGGCATCTGGAGATGTTGATTGACATTGCATTTGAATATTTGGAGATTATAGCTATCAGAGAAGCAAGTAAGAGGAAGGGAATTCCATAGATAGGAAGTGCAAGACATAAAGCTATTGGGGTAGAAGAGACAGCTACATTTAGCTGTTTTGACAGTGAAAGGGTGGGACAGAGATGCCAGCCTAGTAGCACGTTTAAAATTCATACAGTTTGGGAACCAGTGAAAGTAGCTCATTGGAGCAGTTACCATGAAAGTATTTGTAGAAATGACAGAGGGAAGCAATGGCATGTCTGTGATAGAGCGACTGTAAACAAGATGCCAGATCAGAGCCAATCACATTGTATATCCATCTCTGGATCTTGTCGAGGACCTTAAGATGAACAATGAGAAATTGGTGGTCCAACTTTGAATTCCAGCTGAGTTAATTGCATTCACTTTTGTGCAAATAACCTTGAGAAAGGTATGAATCCGTCTTGTCTCCTTCCAGTTATATATTAAATAGCAGGGCAGACTGGGCTCTCTAGCCTTGTTGGCATGCAGTCTAAGAGAAGGACATCCCTGAAGTCAAAATCGTATGTAGCACATGCTATACAGCCATTAGCAAGATCATGAAGTTCATAATAACTTTGTGCTTATGGCTGTATCATGTTGAAGCACCAGTTCCTGTACAGTCACCAAAGTTCAGCAACCTCAAGTCTGGTCAGTACCTAGATAGCTGACCACTTCAGAATACCAGGTGCTGAAATGGATAACAGGGTGGAATTGTTAATTTGAAAGCCAAGTTCCGATTCGTTATATTCACATACATGCAAATACCCTTAGGAAAGGTATGAATCCACCTCTTCTCTCCCCAGCTATGGGTTAATTAGACTTGTATCACTAAATTGGAGGCATGATGGAGTAATCAGATTGAGGAATTGGAGGGTGGAGTACAAATTCCAGTTGAGTTCATTACATTCACTTATGTGCCAATACCCTTGGGAAAAGTAAGAATCCATCCCTCCACCCTCCATCTGTGGGTCGATAACAAGACAGACTGGGTTTTATAGCCTTGGGTAGCAACAAATTTAAGAGTAGGAAAAACTTTGAATTCAAAACCTCCAACTACAGGAAAATAGTAGGGCAGTCTGGGCTCTGTAGCCATTGTTGGCAACCAGACTAGGAGAAAGACAACTCTAAATACAAATCCAGAGCTAGAGTCCTTAGGACAGTCTGATGTCATGTTTTGTTCTGGCAACTCCTGTAACAATGTTGGTGCCAAGCTGTATTGGTCTCTCTGTTTTGCTTGGACAATATCAGAGGCATGGTGTGGGGAGACGTGCAGCATGGAAACTGCCAATCTCTCTTTAAAAAAAAAAAAAACTCTGTCCAAGCCTGCGCTCATCAGATGAAGATGCATGTTCCTACAAGACTGATGGAGGCCAATATATCACTAAATTATTCTTCTCTTTAAAAACAGATTCTTACAATCTGGAAATATTTTCTGGCTTTAAATAACTTGCCAAAAGTTTGATAAGCCATAGAAAACAGGCTATAATAATGACTGTAATCTCAACCACAAACAACCTGCTTTAATGTATTATTATTATTATTATTATTACCACTTTCTGCATCTTTCATTTTTATACTAGTACTTTTTAAGTTTTTTTTATCCATTTTTAAAAAAATTTCCAAGTTTTCTGTTTAATTAAATTCTATTTAATTTTTTAAATTAATTTTTAATTAACTGTTCATTTAATTAAATTCAGTTGAATGATGTCATGACTCAGATTAAAATGGGTTTACTACATGAAAATTCTTTTAAAAAGAATTTAAATTTTAGGATATGTGCCTTTCAAAGACTTTCTTGCCTCATGCTGATAAATATGAAAAATCCTCAGCAACTGAAACTTAATCTTGAACTAAATTCTTTACCAAAATATTTTGTTATTAATTCCCGTCACTTTGTGTTCTTTTCTTTTTTTTCAGGGGAAAATTAACTCTTTCACTTTGCGAGAATCGCTCCAGGGCTTAAAGTAAGTTTTTTTTTTTTTCTTATTTAGTTACTCTTCATATTTAAAGATCAAAATACAGAAACAAATTCAGTTGACCTTTATAGATTACTAACTAAAGTACTTATTTACACTTCAAGACCTGAATCACTGCTGATTATAATGACTGTAGGATAATTCATTAACAAGGACATACATGCTGTTTTCATCAGAGTAAAGTCATTCAAAACTGCTGGATATACCTGAAGTCTCCAAGAATTTTTGTGAAAAATATTAAGTTTCTTATCTGTTCATTAAAAGAGATGGTCAAAGAAATAGACTGTTTATTGTTTTTGCATACATTAGTAAAATTCTAATTATCAAGAAGGATATATATATATATATATATATATATAAGGTCCTCCACCAAAAGTATTGGAACAGCAAGACCAATTCATTTGTTTTTGTTGCTCACAGAAGACATTTGGGTTTAAGATCAAAAGATGAATCTGAGAAAAGAGTTCTGAATTTCAGCTTTTATTTCCTTGTATTTACATTTTGAATTTATTTCTTCCTCCTTTTCTATTTCCTCGTTTCTTTCTTCCTCTTTTTTCTATTTCTTTTTTTCCTTCCTCTTTTTCTATTTCCTCTTTTCCTTCTTCCTCTTTTTCTATTTCCTCTTTTCCTTCTTCCTCTTTTTCTATTTCCTCTTTTTCTTCTTCCTCTTTTTTCTATTTCCTCTTTTCCTTCTTCCTCTTTTCTCTATTTCCTCTTTTCCTTCTTCTTTTTCTATTTCCTCTTTTCCTTCTTCTTTTTCTATTTCCTCTTTTCCTTCTTCCTCTTTTCTCTTTCCTCTTTTCTCTTTCCTCTTTTCTCTATTTCCTCTTTTCCTTCTTCTTTTTTCTATTTCTTCTTTTCCTACTTCTTTTTCTATTTCCTCTTTTCCTTCTTCCTCTTTTTTCTATTTCCTCTTTTCCGTCTTCCTCTTTTTTCTATTTCCTCTTTTCCTTCTTCCTCTTTCCCTTTAAGTAGTAAAAATATGTTCATGATGCTGCATTAAAAAGACATATTTAACTTATTCATTCAGAGAAATATTTACAAGATATTTTTTTTTTATTTTCAGTTTCTTTTTTAGATATGTTTAATTGTTTAACTCCCCAAATTATCCTGTTAATTAATTTTGTGTTTTTGTTAATGTAAATTGATTTGAACTATTAAAACTATGTACAGTCACTTTTAAAAGTATTGGAATACCAAGGCCGATTCTTTTGTTTTTGCTGTTCACTGAAGACATTTGGGTTTAAAATCAAAAGATGAATAAATGAAGAGTTCATAATTTCAGCTTTTACCTCCTTGTATTTACATTTGGATACGTTAAACAGCTTAGGACATATCACTTTTTGTATCAAATCACCCCATTTTTATGTGAGCAAAAGTAAAGGAACAGATAATCTTAAAGTAAATAACATTTAATATTTGGTTGCATAAACACTTGCTTGTAATAACTGCGTCAAGGCTGTGACCTATTGACATCATCAAACTGTTGCATTCTTCATTTATGATGCTTTTCCAGATTTTTAACGCAACCTCTTTCAGTTCTTGCATTTTTTTTTCTACCTTCAATCTCTCCTTCAAGAGATGAAATGCATGCTCTGTTGGATTATGGTCTAGTGATTGACTTGGCCAGTCTAAAACTGTCCACCTTTTTTCCTCTGATGAAGTCCTTTTTTGTATTTGTAGTATGTTTTGGGTTATTATCCTGCTGCAATGTAAACTTCCTCCTGATTAATTTGGATGCATTTCTCTTTAAATTGGAAGACAAAATGTTTCTGTAGACTTCTGAATTCATTCTGCTGCTAACATCATGAGTTACATCATCAATAAATATGAATAAGCCTATTCCAGAAGCAGCAATGCAAGCCAAAGCAAAGACACTGCCTCCACCTTTCTTCACAGATGGGCTTGTATGCTTTGGATCATAAGCAGATAAGCAGATGGTCTCATCAGTCCATAAAACTTTCATCCAATGCTTTTGTCGCTCATCTCTGTACTTCCTTGCAAATTCCAATCTGGCGTTCACATTCTTACTGCTGATATATGGTTTGCATCTTGTGGTATGGCCTCTATATTTTTGCTCTGATAGTTGGTGATGTTACTGACTGGAGGTTGTTGGTGATGTTACTGACTGTTGTTTTTTCCTCACAGCTCTCTCAATGTTTCTGTCATCAACTGTTGTTTTCCTTGGCCGACCTGTTATATGTCCGTTGAAATGAAATGGTTTTTCTTGTGATGGAACTATAGAATGTATATATTTTAAGCCAACTTTCTTTTATGCATGTGATATGCATATGCTTTTTAACAAGCTTTTCTTGGTTATAAACCAAATACTTTATATTAGATGTAAATCCGTGTATTAACAGTCTGTAGTTGAATTGAGAGGGAGAGTTGGGCCTAGTACTTTTTACTGTTCCATCAGTCATCATCAGGAAGGAGGCTTAGAAAGTCATAAGCTACAGATTTTTAAGGCTGTTGCAAAATATTTCATGAATGAATTATATTTTGATAATTACAGTACATTGTTAATGTAATATAGAGTGATGTCATGGCATATGGTTGACTTGCAGATTATAATCACTTGAGTGTGTGAGCTCAATTATTAAAGTAAATTTTGGGCAAACATGGACTTTAGTACTTGCAAAAAAAACAGTGTGACAAAAGTACAGTTTTTCCCTTGACACTGCTATTGTTTTAACTACCTTTACTCCTCAGCAATGTTGTTTTAAATTGCAAATTAGAATTACAATAAAAAAACTGAATATGTGGTGAAAGTGAATTTATACATTTTGTTTTGTTTTTGAGAATTTACAACCAAAATATTGCACACTATTAGATTGTTTATTTACAAGAATAATTTTATATTTACAATATTCTAAAAACTAATACAATTGTTGGAAGTGTAAGCGTTCTGAAAGCAAAGGAAGTATTTGTCGCAGATTACTTCCACAACACAAAGAAAACTCACCGTAAGTACAGACTCAAATATCGGGGGCAGAAAGAAATGCTGAAAACTCAATTTGCTGGTACTATCTCGAATCACAATGCATGGAACTAGTCAGGAAAATAACTCACTCTCTAACAAACGCCGAAGCCAAAAATGCCCGAATTTTCTGCCCCCGAATCAAGAACACCAACTGCTTTTATCGGCAGAACCTATTTGTTTCATTCGTCGACAGCTGGGATAGGATGCTCCGTAATTAGCATATCAAAATACTCTTATAGCGACTCCTGCGATGGACTTTTTTTCGTCACAGAATACATGCGATGCGCTGTCACTTGGTTTGACGAGGTAAGTCACCGTTTTCTTCGCTATAAGATTTTTGCTGACTACTTTTTGGTAATTTTTTTTTCGGCAGATCGCACACAAAACACAAACTTTTTTCTGGGGTACCTGATTATCTCTTTCACTACAATTGTATTAAGCAATGCAATATTTATCATTTACCATTTTATAAAGGAATAAATATGAAAACAATTCTTTATTCATAAACATTTACTAAATTATTATATGTGAACCAACTATAAGGAAATGCTTATTATTTACCATTTTATAAAGTTTGAATCAATTGGCAATTAGCTGATCTTTTGCCAACCATTCCAATAAACAATCTAATAAATAATGTTTATAATTTTGGTTGTCAATTCTCAAGAACAAGAAGGTGTATTGTTATGATGTTGATTTGGGGTTAGTAGACAAACGCCAAATAACACATAACAATAAAAAGGGTTTTAATAGGTTGGTAAAAAGGTACAGAAATCGCCTGAGTAGTCAATAACTAGCTCAGCTAAGAACTTCTCTGTCTATCTGTCTCTCCCCATGTCAACTGACATGCCACTATTTAAAGTCTTTGTTCACAGACAAGTTCATCTTCAAGAGGGGTGATAGGTTTCCGACACAACATGTATAAATTCACTTTCATATGTTTAGTTTTTATTACAATTCCAATCATTGCTATTTAAAACAATAAACATTGCTGAATAGTAAGGGTAGTTAAAAAAAGTGGTACCATGAGAAAAACCATCCTTTTGACACTTCATTTTCTTGCAATCACGAAGGTCCATGTTTGCCAAATTTTGTTTAAGTATGATGCTTTTCTTTTATGTCGGTAGCTTCCATTATTTGTAATATTTTCTTATTGTGTGATGTGATCTGATGTGAATTATTAGGGACATTATGGAGAAGCTTGGCATAACAGTAAATTGCACACTATTGAGAAAGATGGCAAGTCAGCAAGAAGGAATAAATATTAGGACTTTAAAAATGGACATTTTAAAAGTATATGTAAATATATATATAAAAAAAAGTAAAGCAAAGTGTGGGGGGAACAAGGTAAAGAAAAAAAAATTATTCACCATAAAGTGATGGATTGAAAAATATAACAAAAAATGGCAAACTGGTTATTGCTCTTCACTCTTCATATTCAATCAAGGACAAAAACATAAATATGGACACAACAATTAAAAAAGGAGAGAAAAAATACTTGCAGAAAATTAGCAGTATAAATGACAGATACATTACATTACAAACAGATTTTGTTAGATGTAGACTGTAATAGTAATGGCAATAGTAACCATTTCCTTATAAGGAAACATTAAGCATTCATTGACTGGGCAGCCAGTACTACTATCAGATGAAAATAGGTTTTTCAAATCCAGTAGCTGTTTTCCTTCTTTCCAGTATTGATGTGGGTTTCTGTTATACCAGAATATACCTATTCTATTGTAATAGACTCTCCCACACATAATAAGTAGTAGTAGTAGTGGTCGCCAGTTGGGCTCAGTGGAGTTGAGTGAGTCAGTCAATGTTGGACATTGAAGTATCAACCACCACAACTAGATTGCTGCATCATTAACTATTATTTTCAAGTTCCTAATGTTTTGTACGTCGAACCTTTTAGGACCGACTTAGTGAAATACAAGCCTCCACTGTGAAAACTACTCTATAACAGTTTCCTTCCTAACCTTTTATTTGTTGTGGTGTGGAATGTCAACATATTGATTATGTCATTATTTTCTCATCAAGTTACATATTCTATACATTTTAATTGTTGCCACTGCTGGTAGTCCTCAATTGATGTGATTTCTGTTATTTGGTTTGTTTGTGATTCTCTAGCACCAGTTCAAAGAAGAATGGCCTTTGCCAAGATCCTCAGGGTTTACTTGCTCAATGCCTTTTTTTTTACCATTGATCTTAGAAAGTAGTTGTATACAGTTGGCAATTGAAATATTTATGAACAGGTTTGGTGCCATTCATGATATCCATTTGAAAGTCTCCATGTGACAAAGCTATTTAAGAACATCACTTGAGTTTTCAGGTGTATAGTTTGCTTTTATACTAATTTGTGATCCTAATCTTTGTTCAATTTCCTTGTCTCCAATACTAAATTTGTTATAAGTGAACTGATGAGTTTTCAAATCATCATCCAAAACCACATCTGCATTTAGAAAAGATCATGGTTACTGTATGGTGTTTGGCTAAGGGCATCATTCCTTATTTATTTTTGCAACAAAGTAAATCAATTACAGTCAACTTGTACTGCAAGGAAATTAACTGCATGCATAAAAAATTAAAAAAGAAATGGCTTAGCCTCGTAAATAGAAATGGCCCAATTCTACTCCATTGACAATTGCATGCTTTCACACTTCATGGTTCACTGTCCAAATGTTGCAGATTTTCAAGCATCCACCTTTATTCCCCCAAACATCTCTCTCATAGATTATCACTTATCTAAAGGCTTTGAACTTTCCATATGCAACAGAAGATTCTTTTATACAGAAGAAGTAATCAAAGGATTTCAACAGTTTATTAAAGCAAAAAATGAAGATTTTTTTTTAAAATGCATAAACAGCGACATTGATAAGTTATATTGGAATAAAGCCGTAGAACAAAATGGATATTATTTTGATTAAATGAAACTGTTTTTTAATTTTTTTTATTTATTGTAATTCATCGAAATACATTTTAGATGGGACAATCTCCAATCAAACTTGTTAAGTAATTTATTTTCTCATTTCACCTGTTTCTTTTGCTTTCGGTGTGTGATGAGTGTTTGATTCTCTTGGCCTTCTTTCTTTATTATGCATCTCACCTATTTCTTTCAGTTTCTATGCACTTTTTATGTCACACTTTCTCTTGTCTGTTCCGCACAACTCAGATAATTAAATTTCAATACCTGATTCATTTTGACATCTCCCAAACATAATTTACCCCTTCAGCTATCTATTTAGTAGTAGTCATTTTTTTTCTTGTTTTTTTTTACTAAACAGCTGGGATTTTATTGAAAGTAATCATTGGATTTAGTTTTTGAGTTATTGGGTTAATTTCATTACTCAGATCATAGTAAGAATTATACAAGATAACAAAGTTCCATACAGGGCTGTGAAGACGGAGTCAGAAGCAATTAAAGGGTCACTGGAATCTGAGTTGGTAAAACTATACTGACTCTGACTCCACTGGAATTTACACTTTATGTAAAATGTCTTACTATTTTGGAATTTTTGTTTTTATTGTTATATCTTCTACTGTATATTTACTATTTCCTTTAAAGAAATTCACCTCAACTTCTTTTTTAAAATCATTTTAGTTTTTGTAGTTATTTTGTATTTGCAAAAATATATATGTAAAAAAAATCTTACATTATACAATTTTTATTTTTGTTGTCTTTTACATCCTGTAAAAGATTATATTTCAACTTCTGTTATAAAGTAGTTTTATTTTTGTTCTGTATTTATTTCTTATTTGCGCATTATATATATATATATGTAAAAAGTCTTACATTATAGTATTGTTATTGTTATTTCTTCTATATCATTTCAAAGATTTTGTTTCTAATTCTGTTAGAAAATATTGAAGAATGAATAGGTATGATATAAAAGCCACAACATCTTTATTTGATATAAACCAGTTATAATGAGATAGGGCCACTCAAGTTAGGAGCATATACATAGGCTTTATGAGGTTTGTAGGCCACAATCACTTAATTACACATAAGAGTCAGAGGTGTCAAAAATAGAGGAGTCAGATTCAAAGGCTTTGTGTTCTGACTTCACAGCCCTGGTTGTATAAGTCGCTACAGTCTATTATCCTCATTTGTGTTGTTTTCAACATTTCAGCAGATACATTCTTCAGTCGTTCTCGGGTTTTTATTGCATCTTTGAGTTTGTACAAGAAAATCTCAAGTTGCAGCATTTATGCTGAATTTTTGTTTTTATTAGGTCAGATATTTTTTTTGGTGGGGATTCTTTACATGAGCAGTATAAAATACTCTGCTGAAGTTCTGTTTCAGTTAAACAGCGTGAAAATAAACTGTCATTTTATATATTTAAATTTTATAAATGTTCTTTGTCTAAAATAATAATTTTGGTGGATCCTGATAATGATGCCATCCATACTCAAAACATGGAAAATCTTTAAATGCGTATCAAATGTAAACAGTTTGGAACTTCTGAGACATTGTTCCAGTCACATCTTCCCAAATTTCTGTAGCGTCAGTGATATAAGAACTGTTTGTTTTCAGTATTTATTTACTGCAAAGCCCACCTATAGCCTGTTATAATAATGTTTAATTGTAATAAATATATACACCTTGGTCTTATTGGTTTTATGCTATTCCGGGAATAGCGGTTATGCCACTTAAGTGAAGAATTACCCTCTTGAACTCAGCAGATTCTGTTCAGTATGCAGAGTTGAAGGAATAATTTCTCAAATGTAAATAACATGTTGGCATTTATCTTTCAGAAATGAAGGAGTTCAATTGACTGTCCGTTCTTTCAAGATTACTCAGGTCAATCCTTCTGAGACAGCGTTGCTTGATGCCTATGTGGAAACATTCAAAGATTTTCCTTTGAAAAAACAGGTAAGTCACTCAACAGTTAACTTTTTTTTTTTTTGCTTGTAACATTTTGACTTGTAGTACATTTTTACTTATATATACATAAAATAAGAGAAATAAATAATAACTAAATATACACAAAGAAAATAACAACATTAACTCACTTTCAGTTAACAGATAAAAAAATGACATTACTTCACACCCTCCATAGTTTACCTTTTCTTACATAGTAAGTTTTTAGAATATTATACCGCATTCACTAATTCAAAATTTGAAAAAATTTTTACAAAAGCACCACTTCTTGTTTATCTGCAAGGGAACCAGATATTTTTAATTAATTCACCTGGCCAATTAATCTCTTGGACAATGTAGTGGTGAAATTTTGAAGTCTTGAACCTAATGTCTGTACTCAGGTGGTAGAAATTTTCAGTGTCCTTTTCTAATCAGAGCCTTCCTGATGGTGTTGTTCTCTATACGGGGTCTGCTGAGGAGGTTGTTAGAGCTGAACATGAGCACTGATTCCTTTAGTCATCTTATACTCCAATTTTGTTTATTATCTTGACTTCATTCTATACAGGTTGATGATCATTCTTTCATCCCTATATAATCAGCCCTGCTTGATTTCAATGTCTTTACCCAGACTACAGCTTTTTGATCTTCCTCCACATTTAAGAGGTTATCTGATTTTTCCCATGTCTTCCTTACCATGGAATTGTCCAAGAGAAGCATCGCTTAATAGATTAAAGCATTGGTTAAAGCATATCTACACGCTTGTGCAAATTAATAAGAAACAAAATGAATAATTCCATTATTATTTCCTTTTTTTCTCATATTTTTCCAATGAAACATGACCCCGTGCACATATTAATACTTTGTATGTCCGTTCCTTAAAGTCGTCCCTTGCAGATTGACCACAGATCAAATTTTGTATTGAATAAATGAATGAATACAGAAACCTTATGAAAATTCTTTGTTTTGATTTTTCTAAAATCATGTTTCCTGTTTCTTCTTCCTATGTCTTACTTATGTGTATATATCGACTTTCAGCCAGTTATTACATGCATGGGAACGCTGAAGAAGTCTTCAACAGATGATGACGCTATCAGCTGCCTTATTATTGGCACAGAGAACTGTTGTATCTATGTACTGGATTCAGCTGCATTCACAGTTCTAAAAACAGTAAGACCATTATTTTTTTTTTTTTTGCTGTTCAATGAATGCTGAATGTTTCCTTATAAGGAAACAGCAAATATTACCATTACCATACTATTATTATATTTGTTTGTATGTATGACCATTAGGCTTTTCTATCTAGGATTAGTGTGTAGTATCTGTGTTTAATCCCTGAATGAAATTTTAGGGTTTGGTATATAACTATTTTTGTATTTTTATTTTTCATTATAAATTTTCCATCTGCAAGTTTTAAAATTTGGGCCGTTAAAGAATGGGAGAAATAATGCATTTCTCCATCAAAAACAGGGAAGTGAACTATGCAGATATTAGTATTGACTTTATCCTCAAGAGCAGAGAATCAATAAGGTGTTTACAAAAAGAGATTCTTGTTTACCAAAAAATCAGTTTCCTTATTTTGTCACTATATAAACTATGCAGTTACTTGTATGTAATTTGTCTTCAAGATTAGAGATTCCAAAATGTGATTCAGTCCGTTATATGCCATGTGTGATACATGCTTAGACAATCATCTATCTTTTGACACATAACTGATGAGGCAGATTTTTTTTCCTGCAGTAGGTTGCTATTTCTTTCTGTAGTAGACCAGATGCCATCCAAGGCTATAGAAACCGGTCTGTCCTGCTATTTACTCATAGCTGGTGGGGAGAAGAAGAAGATTCATACCTTTCCCAGGGGGTATTAGCATGTAAGTGAATGTATTGGATTTGACTAGAATTTGAACTCTACTCTCCAATTCCTCAATCTGAGCCACTATTCATTACTCCATTGTGCCTCCTTGATTACTAAAGGAGAATCTTGTTTGCCATAAAATCTTTTTTTTCTTTATTTTGTTGCTATACAACATATGCAGATAACCTTTTTGAATATATACCCAAGAGCAGAAATTACAAAAGGTGATGACCAAAGGAGAGTCTTGTTTGTAATAAAATCTTTGTTTGTTGTAACTTATTATTATTGAATATATATATATATATATATATATATATATATATATATATATATATATATTAAATAAATATATTTGCTGAAGTCTTTTTGCTATTGTAAAGATAAATTCTATACGGGGTCAAATTTTGAGGTCAATACTTACTCGGCGTGTTGATAAATAATGCAATAAACTGTTTTCTTTTATGGCAAGCATTGAATGATAACGTTCTTCAGTAGGCATTGGGTGAAGTGTGTCGGTTACTAGAGTGAGGAATCTCTAAGAACGGTAAATTAAGGCAAAGTTACATTAGAAAATGTCTTTGGTTGACACACTTCTGAATATGCACAATGCTGAATAACCTAATTTCTATAACCCACGTCAAATGTTTTAGAGAAAGAAAAAAAAAACATGGGGAGTATGTAACTGTTAAAGGGTGCAGCATGTATGGTGGGTGCTACTAAAGGGTGCTACTTGATGATTCTTCTTGCAAAATGAAGTGTATTTAATCTTGTCTAATTTTGGGGATGAGTTGGTGGTATTATTTATGTTACTTACACACATACTATTATTCTCATCTTTGCCATTGCTAGTACAACATTTTGACTATTATGACCCCTCCACTCCCACTGGCCTTCATCAGGTGTTTTTTGATCCTGGTAATGTTCAGGGAATTTCAAAAGTGAACTCTTTATGTAATCTACAGGTGTAGAGTGTTGTCATTCAGGAACAAGAACAGTCAACCACCATAGATTGAATATAGTATTCAGTTGCCAGATCATTAATACCTCACTAAGAAAGCCAGGAACAATATGGTGCAATTGAACAGACGAAAGAGTAGACACATTGACCAGAATGTCACAAATATTCTCATAAATACAGAAACCCACTGCCAGAGGAGTAGTTGTTCCATCCCAGATAGTCTGGGTTACCACTGGCTTGACTGTTTTAATCTAAATGTCTAGGGAGGACTCAGATATTCTAACTAATTAAAATCCTGGTCTGTTGAACAGGAGTAGAGTTTTATCCCTTGTTTTCTGTTTAGGAATGGGTTTTGGGTTCCTTTTAAAGTTTTTTTTCCTTCTCTTTCACTTCTGGTGCCCCCTTGAGTCTTTGTGACATTATCACTCTGTTTGGGATAGTGTCCCTTACTCTGTAACCCTCTAGATTAAAAAATAAAAATAAAAAATCACTTAGCAATTCTCTGTTTCTTTCTGTCCTTACCTTTAATATTTTGTCTGACTATTATTATGCTCCAAACCATGTTTCCTCAAATTTTAACCTTTTTTGATTCTAAGTGTCCTTTTTGTAAGCATTTTCCTGAAAAAATTATCATTGCTCACATGTTCAGTCCAGTGCCTGGAAAATTTGATAAGAGAAGATTTGGTAACAGAAAATTTGGTAATTTTGACAAGGTGGGAAAATTCAATGACTATGAAATAAAAGTCGATTAAAAATTGATTTTAGAGTTGTTCCAGAGTGAGGAATTTGGGTGCTAAGCCCCCTCCCCTATATTTTTAAAATAGAAATAAGACTATATAGTTTTTGCTTCTTTAAAAAAAAAAATTATCTAAAAGTTAATTTATTTGCTACTTTTTTTTTTATTGAAATGTTAATTTGAATAGAAGATAAAAGAAAAATCAATTTTATTTGCTTGAAAACAATAGAGTATAATAATTAAATAAATACTTATTTAAAAACTATTTATTTAAAAATATGGTGGGGGGGGGGGTCTTAGCAGACAGAAAGTATAGCCGTAGTATTGTTGCAGTGGGGTTTTATCTGGACTGGAATCCATGATTTTTTTTAATTATTACTTAATTATACATATGGGGTGTTGTTGCTAATCGCCTCCAGAAAGTATGGTCATGGTATTGTTGTAGTGGGGTTTTATCTAGACCCCCATAGTTTATAATACTCTTTAAAAAAATTTGGGGGAAGGAGGCCTAGCCCCACGATTTTCAGTTATTTAAAAATATAGAGAAGGGTTATTAGCCTCCAAATCCCAACTCTAGAATGGCCCTAAAATCAATTTTCAATCGACTTTTATTACATAGTTACCAAATTTTCCTACCTTGTCAAAATTACCAAATATTCCGTAACTGAATTTTCTTAAATTCATTCAGTCAGTCCATGATAGTCTCAGTATCCTTCTGTAGAACCACATCTCTGTTAACTTAAGTCTCCTCTCCATTTGTGAGAAGATTGTCTAGATATTCATTACCAAACAGGAAGATTGATATTACATCGCATTTGAGCACTCTTTTCTTTATTTCTAATGAAATTTTCCTGATTCTTAATATTTTGTTTAACTTTTGGAAGGCATCTTCCACTATTGCTATGCACCTTCAGATTTTTTTTTTTTTTTTTTTGTCACATTTTCCATTGCTTGCAAAGTTGATATTCTGCAGTGTTTTTATCTCTGTAGACTTCTTGTTGAGCCATTCATCTTTTGCCTGTTTGCATTTCTGTCTAATGTTTTTGTTTAACAATCTATAACTGTATGTTCTTGTTTGTTCATTAACTATTTATTACTACTAAATCAGTTGGATTTTTTATTTTTAGTATCCCTGTCATCCTTTAAATGCAAGCAGCAAATAAATGATTATTTTTGTTTTATTTAAAAAGCGATAATCCTTGAAAGAATATCTCTGGCTCAAACTGATCAATAATTATTTCTCTCTTGCAGATGACTCTACCAAGTGTTCCTGTATTCATAAACGTTTCAGGAATGTATGATGTCGAGTACAGAATCATTGCTACTTGCAGAGATGGAAAAATCTACACCTTCAAAAGGTGCAAAACTTGAAACAGCAATTATACTTTACCCTTTGGCATATTAACAAGTCAAAACTATTATTATTTTTATTTGTTTAATATGTTCTTCATCCAAACGCATGTAATCTTCCCCCCCCTGAAGAGTCTCTCTGTTTATGAAATATTTTCTTTTTACATGTTATATTCATTAATGTTGTTTTCTACTATATGTACCAAGGTAACAAATATTGATTTTCTTTTTCCTATTACATATTTTTTTTTACAGAAATGCCAACAAACTAAAATTCCCAGAATTTGAAGGATCGCAGATATGCTAAAAACATATCAGTGTATAAGTTCTCAGCATTATCTTTTTGCCTAATGTTGGGGAAATCTAAGAAGTGGCTTTAAAGATTACACAACTCATTATTGCTTGTATAGTGGATTGAGTGTCAGTTATCGGTACAAAAGGTGGAATCAGTGAAGTGAGTGCAAATTGTGACTCTGTTCAGCTGTGTACAAATGCATTTTGGGGAAAAAGGCATGTGTCTATCATTTCTCACTCCAACTAAGGGTTAAATATCAGAGTAGACTGGGTTCATTAGTCTAGAAGAGGAACTACTCTGAATTAAAAAAAAAAAAAACATGGAGAAATGCAATAAGAAGCTCCTGTTATTCCCAAGAAGTCATGTCAATCCACAGATAAAGAAAATGAATCTGTAGAAAAACTAATCACCTATCCATGACATTTAAAAAAAAAATGATCAGTCAACTGTCAAGTATTGTTTGCAAGCAGAAAAAATTCCAAAGCGTTTACATAACATATATAAAAGAATATTGCTTGGATTTTAAACCTATCAATACTTTAACATATTTGATATTATGAGACCTTCCATTGTACACCTGTAGTTTAACCACCTTGATATTATGAGACCTTCCATTGTATACCTGCAGTTTGTAAAAGATGCATATTTTAAAAATGTTGTAGATTTCTGGTACCTCTAGTTGATCAGGCAACAGGTATCAACGCTGTCTACTGAAATACAGTGCTACCTGATTTACTAACACATTCAGGTGTTACAAGACTGTAAGCATCTAACACCTGAATTGAACAGTAATTCGAATCCAGTTCTCAGATTTTTTATTCTGAGCAACTATCCATTACACCACCTGCACATCCAACTCTGTTACAATACACATCTGCAAGTTAATTTTGTAACCCGATACCTAAAAGGAACGTATTCTTCTAAATACAGGGACCCACTGTCAGAGGAGTAGTTGTCTCATTCCAGATAGTGTCTGGATCATTGCTAGCCAGATCCAGCAAGCAGACTGCCTCCTTCTGACCAGCCATACACTCAGCTAAACTGTTTTTACTCTGGGTCATTGCTGGTTAGACTGTTTTAATTTATATGTCTAGAGAGACCTCAGATGTTATCTTCTAGCCACTTAATTAATCAGGATGATATAACAAGTTGCAATGCCAGGTAATTCATACCTCATTAAGAAAGTCAGGAGCATAAAAGTGCAATTAATAAGAAAGAGTTGGTACATGAACTAGAATGATAAACAGAGAACATTCAACATTCAAAGGATTTCACTTCAGCAAGAAAATTGTTTTGCATTTTAGTAACATGAACATTTATCTGTCTATATTTCTGAGATGAGGTATTATGTACATTATTTACATTATTCGGACTATTGTTCTCATCTTTGTCACCATATTTATTACAACGTTTCAGCTGTTGTACGCTCTGGCCTTCTTCAGGTCGTTGGAATGTCGAATTTTATTTGGCTCACTGGGGTAAACAGTTCTAGTTCCATGTCTGAAAGTTCTCCACTGCCTTAGCTGGGTATTGAACTCACACTGTTTGGGTCACTGGATTTAACTAACGCCTTTATCCACTGTGCTTGTGTATGAATTTCTGGGTATTATAAACCTAATGTCTTCAGCAACCATTTTTTGGTGCTCATATTGCAATTTTTGCTGTTATCATTGCATGTTGTTACCAGAGCTCATATTGCAATTTTTGTTGTTATTATTGCTTTTCTCTGGCACTCCTTATTACTGGTTTCCATATTGTATTCATTTCTATGCTTGGTCGACTCAGGAGATTTTTGTGGCCTAGCATATGTGCTGCTTCCTTAAGTTTATGAATTTTCCAATGGTGTTCTTTGTCTATGACCTCAACCTGATCCCACAGAGGGCTGTGATCTCCCTTCTCTCTCCATATGTGGCTGACCATAAAAAAGGGTTCAGTTCAACATTCCAATCACCGGAAGAATGCCTGAGCGTACAACGGCCAAAACCTTGTAATAAATATGGCGACAAAGATGAGGACAATAGTCCGAATAATGTAAATAATGAGCATTTATGTAGGTGGTGTGAAGATTTGATTGTGGCAGATGAATTATTTTTTCACACTATGGTTTCTTTCCCACAGACAAGTGTCTCACTGCTCTCTCACTATTTCCATTGAAAGGATTCAGACAAACTATATTCATTCATTACACCAACCTTCATGGTTAAGACCCACCTTGCCATGCACATTGTAGCAAACCACCTTCATTCCTTTCGTATTCCATTGGGGAGATATAACTTCCACTTGAGCAGTTTCTTCTCATGAACCAATGCTTTGTGGAACCGACTCCCAAGAGAATGCTTCCCTGATCACTATAATCTTAACTTCTTTAAGTTTAAGGTTAAACATTATATTCCCCATATATCCCTATAAACTGTAATCCTTGTGTGGCTCTTGAGTCTTGTACATGAAAACTGTGGAGAATGTTCAATGGACACCACTCCATTACCTTTCCTCAAAATCATCATAGCTATTCACAATTTTTAGATAATTTTAAAAAAATGGAGGGACGTGATTACTTATGACCTGAAGGAGCATTTTTTTAAATAGATTTCCAAATAATCTAAAGTGTTTGTGTATTTATTCAAATGTACAACAAAAATGACCATTTCATGTCATCACTTCTAAAAAGATTTTAGAAAAAATCCCTAAAATCTATTTAAACAAGTTTTATCTATCCGAATTTGATATTTGTTTATAAATTATCAATATTTATAATCATTAACAATCATAATTGATAGGTATACACATATAACAAGCAGCCATGGATATATAATGATCAGACATGGCAGGAATACACGTATAATGATCAGAAAGGCTAGAAATAAATATATAATGATCAGACATGGCCAAATACATATGCAATGATCCAGAATGATAGGAATACATATATAATGATCAAACATTTATAAACATAAAAAATAATCTGATTAAATAGTGTGACAATATTATTGGTATTTTTAGAAATTCCTTCTTATAATTCTTTCATTGAACTTAAAGGAAAATTATAAAATTATATTCTGGCCTTATATTTACAAATAATCTTTATATATTTCTGTAGCCTTATACTGACAAAAATCCCCAGGATCTCCTTTTCTGGGTTAATTTGAATAGAAATAGGTCATGTTTCTAGATAATTTCTGTCAATTCCAACAGATTTACACTCATTAGAAATTAGGGAACCTATCACTTTCAAGCACCATTTTTCTAAATGACTCTTCCAAATTCATTTTGGTTGTCAATACATTCTTTCAAAGATGACTTCAAATGTCTGTAACTGAGTTTTCCTCTAACATGAGAAATTCAAAGAAAATCAAATATAGTTTTACATAGAATTCCAACTGCTTTGTTTGGATAACTTTCTCTGGATGCCATCACAGCTGAAGTCATTGAAATAAATCAACAGAAAATTTTGAGATATTTCCTATTGATTTTTACAGATATATAAAAATGGTGCAAAGCTTTTCACTTACATTAATTGCTATATACCTACATTCACATATATATTAGTTTGTTTCTCTTTCTCTTATAGATATTAAAACACATAAACGTACATAACCATTTTTGTTTGCACATAAATCTATTACCCAGTTTATACAGTTTAGAAAGTGCTGAAAAGTTAATGGATTGAACTCCAATTTAAAAATCTGACTAAATACTGAAAATGTCTTGGATTGATCTCCAACCTAACATTTGACCAAATACTGAAAAGGTCTTGGACTGTCCTCAAACCTAATATCTGACAAAATACTGAAAATGTCTTGGATTGACCTCCAACTTAAAATCTGACCAAATACTGAAAAGGTCTTGGATTGACCTCCAACCTAACATCTGACAAAATACAGAAATGGTCTTGGACTGACCTCCAATCTAACATCTGACAAAATACTGAAAAGGTTTTGGACTGACCTTAAACCTAATATCTGGCAAAATACTGAAATGGTCTTGGATTGACCTCCAACCTATATCTGACAAAATAATGAAAAAGGTCTTAGATGGATCTCCAACTTAAAATCTGACCAAATACTGAAGAGTTCTTGGATTGGCCTTCAGTATAAGATCTGATCAAATGGCCAAGCAGATTTATCTTTTTAAATCCTTTTTTGGTTTTGTTGAGCACTCTTTAGCACCTCTTTGTGATTGCTTTCTCACTATTACTATTATTATTTGAAGAAGTTCAATTTGAAATATCACAATATTTTTGAGTGTCTTCCTCATTATTGTTTTCTCTCTATAATATCTTGGCCATTCTATTCTCCAGTATTCATTAGAGGAAATATTTTTTCCAGGGTAATATATTGATGTCAGTCTAGGTTTGATCTTTGGACTGTCATATCCTGTGGAATTCTTGTTGACTCATTGAATTCAATTATGAAAGGCACCAAAACAACAGGAGAGACTTGATTATTGTTTGAACTAGACACTGCACTGGGCAAAGTTTCCTTTGTAGAAGGCTGGAGAACGGAATATCATATATACTTCGGTATAAGCTGACTACATGTATAGTGCGACCCCTGAATTTTGCCCCCCCACCCACTCCTCCCCTGGAAAAATTTGCCTGTATATAGTGCAACCGGGTCACTGAAAATGCATGATTTTTAACCTCATCAAAAAAATTACCTGTGTATAGTGCAGCCCCCTATTTTTTTTTTTTTTTTTTTTTTTTGTATAAAAATCTGATGTTAGGTTGGAGGTCAATCCAAGGCCTTTTCAGTATTTGGTCAGATTTTAAGTTGGAGGTATTCAAGTCATTTTCAATATACTCGAGTATATATAATAACTAAAATTTTATAGCAAAATAACAGATGCGATGACAACAGTCGAAAATATTATGTATTCATATAAATGATTGTAGATTTTTTGTTGCCACTTTTACAGAGTGAACACCACACCAAAACATTGCATTGAACTGAGTTCACAGCCTGTGGGTCTAGTACGCATTAACAAAACTATTGTGGTTGGATGTATGGACGAAACGCTGCAGTGTGTCTCAGATAAGGTACGGAATGTGTTATTATTTAGCAATTGTTTCCCAATAACTACTTAGTAATCAGTCTTGGCGCAATTTCATCGTCTCCATTGTGTTACTCAGATTAATTAGTTTGACTTCATGACGCCATCCCTCCCAGTCAGCCATGACGCCTGGGATGAACATCTTGGTATTGAGAAAGTCTCACAAACCCATCTTTTCTTTGCCAAAACTGTAGTCAAAGAAGCATTGTCAACCATTATTAATTTTTTGCCCAAACTTTCATCTTAATTTTATTTGCTTTTCATTGCAACTACTCAGACCATCAGTTGATGCCTTTTAGAAAACAAGCTGGAATATTCTCTTGAACTTTATTAAGAAATGAAGCATTATCAACCTTTATTAATTTTTGACTTTCATCTTGCTTTTTATTGGAACAACTCAGATCATCAGTTTATGGCTGCTAGTATACAAACAGTAATATTCTCTTGAATTTTATTATTAGATGGAACATTATAAACCATCATTAACTTTTGACTGGTATTCCTTTCATTTTAACATTTTTATTTTTATGGCACTAGTAGTATTAGATATAATATTTCAGTTTCTTTGATGAAGCATTGCTAATGATGTTTAATTTTAAACAAGTTTTCGTTTCATGTTGTTTTTATCACAACACCAAGATTAG